AAGGGTCTACAATAGACCTAGTTCTGGGCACCCAGAACTGAGTAAATTAGAAGTAGAAGCAAAAATATATGGAGGAAGCGATCACCTTCCAATCATAATAAGAGACATTAATCACAATAGAGAAACAATAGTTAAAGAGGAAAAATGGAAATTCAATGAAGAAGGATGGATAAAATTTAAAGAAGAAATACAAAAAATAGATGTGGACAATATAAAATCACTGAACGAAATAACAGAAATAATAAAAAACATAGGGATGAAACATTTCAGATTAAATAATGATAATAGTAAAAATAAACCAACAAAACCATGGTGGAATAAAAAATGTAAAGAAGTAATAAAACAAAGAAACAAATCATTCAATAAATGGAGAAAAAATCCTAATGAAAAAAACAGAATAGAATACAAAAAACTTCAAATAATAGCAAGAGATACAATAGAAAAGGAAAAAAGAACAAGTTGGTCAAATTTCTGCCACTCATTAGATTTTAGAACCCCAACCAAAAAAATATGGAATTTTATTAAGAAACTTTCAGGCAGTAATAGAATAAATAATTACCCGCTAATAGATAATGATCAGCCAATACAAGAAACAAAAAAGAAATTAAAACTCTTAAAAGAAGAATTCCAAAGTATAATAAACACAAAAACAAAATGCTTAATAACAAAATCAGAATTTAAAAGTTTAATAGAATTGCCAAGTACGAACGGATTAAAAAAGGAGATAACATTAAAAGAATTAATTTCTGTAATAAAAAAGACAAAAAATAATAAAGCTTGTGGCCCAGACAGTATCCCTTATGAATTTTATAAAAATATCCCAAATAACCTACTGGAAAAAATTTTAAACATCTATAATCAGTTGTGGATAAAAGGAGAATATCCTATAGAATTCAAAAATCACTCGTAAATCCGATATTAAAACCGGATAAAGATCCAGCAAATAAAAAATCATATAGATTCATAAGTAGAATCTCATGTATAGGGAAAATGCTGGAAAGCATAATCAACAATAGACTAATATGGTGGCTTGAAAAAAATAACAAACTAAGTCAAGACATAACAGGTTTCAGACCCAATAGCTCAACAATAGATACATTACAAATAATCGATTTTCATATTAAAAAAGCTTATAAAGAGAAAAAATATGCCCTAATAGCATCTCTAGATTTAGAAAAAGCTTTTGACAAAGTAAACCATGATGCAATAATAATAAAAGCAGCTAAACTAGGTATAACGGGTACTCCTCTCAGATGGATATCTAATTTTTTAAATAATAGATCCTACCAAATAATAATAGGAAACCAAAAATCCGAGGAAGGAGGAATAAGTAAAGGACTTCCACAAGGATCTCCATTAAGTCCATTACTATTCAACATAATGATGTCAGATCTAAATCTAACAGTAAAAACCAACAAAATAATATATGCAGATGACATAAATATAATAACAATAAATGAAAATCTAGAAGAAGCAAAAATCAATCTAGAAGTAGGATTAAATAAAATAGTAAAATGGGCTAACGACTGGGAGCTTAAATTAAATTTAACTAAAAGCAAAGTAATGTGCTTTACAAAAAAAAGAATAAGACAAATACCAATAATAAAAATAAATAATGAAGAACTAAAATTCACAAATAAACATACAATCCTAGGACTCGAATTCGACGCACCAAAACTAAAGTGGAAAAACCATATTAATAACTTGAAAATTAGATGTACAAATAGAATAAACATAATGAAAAAATTATCAACAACAACATGGGGAGCAAACAGAGAGACAATGATAAAATTCTATGATATCTACATAAAACCAAAAATAGAATATGGTATAACAATTTATGGAACAGCAAATGACACAGAAATAAAAAAAATTGAAACAGTTCAAAATGGAGCTTTGAGAATAGCCACTGGATGTTTAAAGACCACTCCAATAAATGCACTCTATGCCCTAACAAATAAAATGTCGATCAAAAATAAACTAAAAGAAAAAGAATTCACCCAAATGTTAAAAATACTAGAAAAAAAAGAAAATACACAAATAAAAAAAATGTTAACAGAAAATATAAAAGAATATAACCCTCAAAAGGATAAAAATAACTTAATCCATAGAATAATAGAAACAAAAAAGAATTGCAAGTGAAAATAAAGATAAAAACAATGTCAAACATAACCCCTATTCCACCTTGGTTTGATATTACAAAAAATATAGAAACAAAATTCTTAGATGAGCAAACAAAAAATATCCCAGAACAAATAATAAGAGCACAATATATAATGTTAGAAAACACACGATATCGAAATTATAAAAAATTATTCACAGATGGCTCGAAAATAAACAACGATTCCACATCAGCAGCAATATACATACAAGATAACAATATAACAACAATATGGAAACTACCAAACAATACAGAAATAATAGAAGCAGAACTCTTTGCAATAAAACAAGGGCTAAAATACATACAAAATAACAAATTATCAAAATCAGTACTATTTACAGATTCTAAATCTGCACTTCAACTAATATCTAACCCGAAACCTAAGAATTCTAAAAGTATGACTTTTGAAATACAAGAATTGATATATACAATGGTAAATCAAAATCAAATAATAATGTTACAGTGGATACCTTCACATAAAAACATAAAGGGAAATGAAATAGTAGATCAAGCAGCTAAAAAAGCACACAAAATAAGATATCCCATAACCATACATGAAGACACAAAAAAACAGATAAAACAGATGAAAAAAAAAAACCAGAGAAACTGGAAAACTCAGTTAAATACAATTCTTAACACAAAGAATTATCTATTGCAGAACACAGAACCGCAGCCATGGTTAAGATCCAAAAATAGAAAATTAGATGTCTGCATAACTAGAATAATAACTAAGCACACAAGACTAAATAAACACCTACATAGAATGAAAATAACAAATGACCCTTACTGTAGATGGTGTCATAATCAAGAAGAAGATATAGAACACTTAATCCTACACTGTCCAAGATTCCACTCCAGCAGAACAAAATTGAAAGAAGCCTTAAGAAAAATCAAAGTAATCAACCCTAACATAAACTTATTATTCACAGGTGCAGATCTCTCCCCAACAGAAAAGTTTTATACTCTTAGACACACCAAAATCTTTTTAAGAAAAACCAAACTAACAGAGATCATATAAAAGAAAGAATAGAAAAGAAAAAAGATCCAGGGGATATAGACTATGCAAAAGTCTAAAACCCTATAAAAGAAGAAAGAAGAAGAGAAGAAGATGAATTAACTCTCCTGATTAAGAACGTTATGGATTCAAAACTGATATAGACGATTTCTTTAACATATATTAGTGATTAACAAAGATAGAAAGGTAAAATGAAACGTGTGTTGCAGCTCGACAGATAAACTTTTGAGTTAATGGCCATTTTGGTTGTTTATGTCCTTTTTATATTGATTTAGAACCATAACTGTAGTTCTGATAGGGAATAGTCTCACAGATAATTGAATTTTAATATTAATGATTCGTTGGTTTTGCATGTCATCTTATGACAAGCGAGAATATTATGAATTACTCAGAAAAAATGGGTTGCCGGTTTTTGAGATTGGTAATAAAATGATTTCAAATTGATAGATTTCGTTAGCGTCAGAAATATGAAGGGAATAAGTGGAGACTGGGATAAAAAGTATATGAAGTAAGGATTGTGATTAAGATTAAGCAATGAATATAGGGTAATTTTGGAAATGCAACCCCATTCCTATTTTCGGGTATATTAAATATTTCTCTGATACCTCCTGTCATGTTTTGAACGAATCTAGCACTCATTTCTTCGCAGAAGAAGCACAACTACGATATTTTGTGGGACTATTAGAAAATACTGATGATTGATAATGAATATGGCTCAAAACATTATATGACTAATTCTTTAGAAAATTCTTGGATCAAACTTTGCTTTATTTTTTCATTCTGTCAAAGGTCAAAAGTCTTCCACCATATAGGGTATATTTTGATAAGGTAGAGTTTATGGACTTTTTTTTCCTGATTTTGATTGGCAATAAGATTGGACAAGAACTCCAATTTTGCTAGAATCTACATGATAGAGATGTCTTGACCATTGCCAGAACATAAACTGATGAGGTCACAGTATCACCTAATGTTTACCTTTGGACTTTGATATGCAGTTATAGTTTCACCCTTACTTAATGCATATTATTTCCGTAGCTTACTGTGTTGATTTTGTTTTTTTTCAAGATGATCTCATTACATTTATTGTATCTTTATTGGTGATGTTATATCCAAATCCTTATGAAGCGTGCACTATATTCTGTGCCACAATAGTATGCCATACTCATAACTTCTCAACTTAGGGTAGCCTAGTCCTTTATTATCCACAAAACAATCAGACCTAAGTGAACATTCACAATTTTTATACCAATGCCTTTATAATACAAAGTATGTTTATTTTGTAACCCAACTCAGATCTGTTGAAATGTATCTGCTTAGGTATGGTGCAATATGTAATGATAAGCAATATGTGTTATATAATAGGCTTACAGATCTGTTTTATGTTCTACTTTCCAGGAATGCAGACAGTGAAACAAGCTTATGTCCTAATGTATGTACAGCGCTTATGTAGCTTGTGCAGATGGAATTCCAGCAACTTCTCAACTCATTATTACTGCAAAAGTTAATGGAGAGTTGGAAAGAAGCACTAGACGCTATAGCCAAACACTAATAACCATGACAGACCACAGGAAAAGGACAAACTTGACGATTTTGTTTATAATTTAAGAACTGCAAAAACATACAAAAAAACAAATAAATGGAAGCACGGCAAAAGGGACAAAACATATAAAAGTCAATAATTACATAAAAGCAGGAAACATTAACGCAAATAATTCATCAGACAGTAATAACAGGGGCCCGAACATCAACAGATACCATTTATTGATAAGAAAATTGAAAAGCAAGATGTCCAAAATGAAGCTTGTTTAGATCTTGTAAGTAGTCATGCTTCAACAGGGAAGAATTATTCAAGAATTGTCAGTAATCAGTCTCCAGCAGGAGATTATGATTTTAGGAAAAAGAAAAGCATTAAAGCTGAGGATCAACCTCCTGATTCTACAGTGGTCCACGGGCACATCACAACTAGACCTACCAAAACAAGATCCATTAGAATTGCGGAACAGACTTAAAGAGATATATGTTCAAGTACCGGCACCTCAAAATAAACCCAAGAGTATCAGCAAAGTTGAAGAATCCTTTCTGCTTGAAATGATATCTCTTGAAGAGATGAAAAAAGCTCTGTCTGTAGTCGAAGAATATGTAAGGTAAGATCATTAGACTGCATTCTGTGAGGACTGTAGATATAGAAGAATGTATAGATTAATATTATTTGATGGTGTAAGGAAATGTCAAGACTTCTCAATTTCGGTGCCTTTATTTCTATTATAATGACACAATTATTACAGTAGAATTTCTTAGCCAATATATTTGTGTTATATACATTTTTAGATCTTCATAAACAGTTTTGTGGTATTTTTTTTCATTTATGACACATTGCATTTATATTGCAGAAATGAGCAGTATCCATCTTTTGCTATATTAAGACAATTATGTGCGTGGGCCTCTACTGAAGGTGATTTGGACGATGTGAAGAGAATTAAAGATATGACTCGAGATAGGTATTCCAGACAGTACAAATATCACATGTATTTTGATACCTATTTTGCAAGGTAATGTCAGCTCTTGTTCTGTTTACAAATCCTTTCTCTTTTAAAGTTTGCATCTATTATACTGGAATTCACATCCTGATACAAAATGTTCTTTTATAATCTGCATTATTACTGTTTATTTGATAGAATTAAATTTGGCTCTTATCTTACAGTGCCTTGTATCGTGAAGGGAAACTGAAAGAATGCTTAGACGTTCTTTATAAACTATTTGTCGATCATCCTAAACGTATCAAGAAGGCAAAAGATACAGCTGCATTTATACTTTCAAGGGTGATAGAAGTGGGTGATGAAAACCAGGAAAAATTGGTAAATTTTATAAAACTTTTTCTTTCTCCTTTCACTGGCAACAATATTTGCTATATCATAGATTTGAATAATTAGTCTGTATTAATTGTTGTTCATATAGCTATTTTTTATGTAGGTTTGTATTTGAAAATAGTATAGAGGAGATTTTAGGATTTTTTAAAGAAATTGTGTGAATATTAATGGTGATATTTTTCAGGCTTTCTCCTTTGTCACAAATTTAGCAAAAGAACAAAATCAGCTAGGACCAGCTTTGGCCTTATGGCGAGCAGGATTCTGCAGCCCAAGACATCGTCATTTTGTGGTAAGTTCTAGGACCTTGATTCCTGTTCTCTAAGATTTTGAAACTAACTTTCGACACTGTAATGTCTTCTGGTTAATAATACAATATCACATATTCAAGTTTTCCCCTTAGTTATGGCAATCTGGTCTTTATTTAACTTCCTGTGTAATGTTTGTATCCATGCATTAATGCTGCAGATAGATTTTTCTTTTTGTTGAAAGACTATAAATGTGGATATATTTCTTCTTTGAGTATTAGGATTATGTTAATGTTCATATAGTTTTGTATATTTTGAACGTCTGCATTGGAGCAGCATATAAATTTGATTGAACAGTTACAAAGAATATTAATGTTTATATCTGCATATTGTTTTTACAGATGGCAATAATTTGCTAGAGCAGCATCCAGATTTGACTGGACATTTACATAGAAATTAACAAGTGTAATAGATGAAGCATCTTCAAGAGGAGATAAAGATCTTTTGCACAGGGTACTGGAGCTGGTACTCAATCACGATATTTCCGACTTTTATGCTCCTGCAACAAGTGCCTTGTTACAACATCAGTGTAAGTTAGCTTGCTCTTAGTTTGGTAACAGTTTATAGCCCTTAGCTTCTGAAACCCCTAAATTTCAAGGAGTAGGAAAAAGAAGCTATTTAACCAACATGTGCTATGGCTTGCACTTATGGCTGCCTTAGCAATTATGCTTCTGAAAAGGAGATCCTATTCTTTTCATTTTGTGTATAATTTTTTGTTTACAGAATCTACAAAGTAATATGTAGAAGGCTTTTATGTGTATGTTCATGATCATGTGCATTCTTAGTAAAGGAATTAAAGGGGTACCTAAATAGTTTTAAAAATCTGTGCTATTTATATTTCAGAAACCATGAATTTTAATTATTCACTAGGGTAAAGCATTTTGATTAGATTAGTTATTATCATATATATAAAGCATATAAAGTTTATGTAATTTATCTTATAGTAGATATCCAAAGTAACTAGAGATAATTTAATAGGAACAGGCCCTGAAACTAGTTTTAATTGGATCAAAATCAGCCATATATTCTGCTGAATGTTATTTTTCATAAAGTTTTGGAAGAATTCTCAAAAGATAGAGAAAGAGAAGTAGCCATGGTGGCATTGTTTTACTTGAACCTCTAAACAGTAAATAAGCGAGCAGAAAGACTAAACTGGTTCCTTCGCATTCCAAGTTAGGCATTGGTCATTGGTGTGCTTTACTTCCAAGCAGCTTTTATCGGCAGCTTGCATGTCAGCTTTGTGCTTTATGTTCTTGACTATCAACTAGGCAACTGCATTACCTAGTTGCAACCATGGAACCCAAATTTATATATTAAACGGCTCATACATGAAAATGTACTTTTGATATTAATTTTATCATGTTTTCATCCAAATGCAGTGTATATAGCTATTTTTAGATAAAATTTCAGTAAAGATTTTTTTTTTGTAATGGTGTTGAACTTACTATTTTTTCCATGTATGATAATACAGAACTTTGCTAAAGAATTGGGCATAGGCATTGGGAGGGATCGAATCCTGATCAGAGAGGTTATAATGTTCAAAGATGACCATGCAATCCTTATAGGCCTATGCCCAATTCTTTAGCAAAGTTTCTCAGGTTATCTGATTTGGGATTTGTCCTGCTGTCCATAAATACTGAGTGCCCATGGGAGTGAGTGTAAAACTTAGCTATCCGTACTCATGTATGAGTAGGTAGGTAATGTCTATGGATGCTAATAAGCGCCTAGTTGCTCACTCATTTTGTTGGGTCGTTGTACGAGTTTAGAGTGGCCGTCTTGCATTCACGTGCATTGGGGCGAGGGATCGAATCCCGATCGGAGAGGTTATAATGTTTAGGATAAAAATGCGGTATTGCATTATTCCATCTTTCATGGTCATCTTTGTAGTATGAAAACTTTATTAAATTTGGAAGTGCTAAAATCAGTATTTTCATAGACACAGGAGAAATTTCAGCAAAGATGATTATCAGATTGGTGAACTGAATGGTTTTTTTTTTCATATCTAATACTGTATTGATTCTTTATTTCTGTTTATTGATTTTTTGTCACCTCTTGCCAGGTGAATTGGGTGATCTCGCAGGAGCTGATGAGACCCTCAGATTTGCGCAATCCATGAAAGTGCGGCTGAAACCTGATGAACTGCAGAGGTTCCTGAACCTTCTAAACCATCATAAACGCCCTGCTCCACTCACCTGTCCTTAGGTTAAAGTATGGCCGGGCACCTCCTGAAGCTCCGTCAGTGCCCAGAGCACCTAAGTTTGAATATAAATTCTAGCAATGATATGCAGGTAATGTTTATTTATTTATGTATTTGTTTTTTTAATTATTATTTTTAACTTCAATATTGGTGAATATAAGGTTTGAAGAATAATGCTAAATGTTTTTTATTTTTATGATTATTGTTTATTAGTTATAATTTTATTATTTTTATTGCTGTAATTATCCTCTTTTATTATTATTATTATTATTAAGAAATACAAGTTTATTTTAGTGTATGTATTGGTTTCTTAGAATCAATTAACATACTGCTCAAAATAAAATCCTTGTCTCTTTACTTGTTAAGATATTATAAATCTATTCACTTCTTAAAAATATATCACTTGCAGTTGAATATCTGTTTTTTTATCAAATATTAGAAATATGACATTGTTTCTTAGATCATTGGCATGGTTTTTGTTAGTGAATAATAAGTAAAAGATTAACAGATCATGTATTTCTTTACACCTATTTTATAATTTTTGTTGTGATGTTGCGAGGATCTAAAATAAATTAATTGTATGTTAATGATTTAATGGTTTAATAAAATGTAATTTTGAAGGGAGAAAAATGCAGATTTAGAATGATAAATTCGACTGATAATAGATATATTTCTGATTATGCTGATGAATCTCTCTGATAAGTGAATTAGTAAAATTATGTGACAGGAAAAATTATGAGACAAGAAAGTTTGGAGCTTCATTTGTGCATAGGCCAGGTAAAAGGTGAGATTCAAAATTTTGTGTAAATGTTAAGAGATATTAATATATATTTTTAGATCAACTAAGTAGGTTTTCAAATGTACATATGCTTTCTATTTTTGGGTAAGAAAAATATTTGGGACACGATTTTACATAGAGAGAAAATAGAAATAATGTGTGTGGAATGAGATTTATTTTCATTTTTCAGAAAGAAAATACTGTGACAGCATTTTGCTCAAAGGAAAATAAACGAACAAATAAGATCAATTTTTAGAAATTTTTATTATACAAGTGTGCTTGTGAAACTACCTTTTTTTCATAATTCCTTTTACACACACACACAACACACACACACACACACACCACACACACACACACAACACACACACACACACACACACACACACACACACACACACCACACACACACACACACACACACACACACACAGACACACACACCACACACACACACAACACACACAGACACACACACACACACACACACACACACACACACACACACACACACACACACACACACACACACACACACACACACACACACACACACACACACACACACACACACACACTCTCACACACATCTCACACACACCTCACACACACTCTCACACACACCTCACACACACTCTCACACACACTCACACACATTCTTTGCTTGTCCCTCAGTTTTTTATTTGTCTGTTCAATCTTTCTTAACACATTTTTTGCTGACTGAGAGAAAGCTCAAGCAAGCTGCTGGCCAATAAGTGAACAAATTATTTACTGTGGTATGTAAATGACTTGTGACTAGACATGTACTACAACAATCATTTCAAACCATCTAAAGCACCATTTATTATATTACTACCAAACTTATATCCCTATCACATCTTACTGCCCAACTAGCAAATTTACATATTACACATATTCTCGTGGAATTTGTAGTTTTTAAGATTTGTATAGAAATACATATTTTGTTACTATTCAGTGTAATACAGGCATATAGACCTTATATATTTGTTTTGCATCTGTCTTTATTTTATAAAGTAAAATGCATAAGAATGTGAGTGCAAATGATAATGAAAGAAACACCACACATAATATAAAACAAATGGTTAATCTGATTGCAAATGATATTATGTAATGAAGAAAAACACGTATTAAGATGCTTAATTCATAAAATAAATATTTCTGTATTCATCTGAGTGTACATTCTCTTCTAGCTAAGGCACATCTATATGCTCTAACAGGTTATACATTATAGTATATTTTGTGGGTTATACTCAGTAATCAACTTTTTAAATTACAAAATCTAAGGACTGTACATACGCAAAGGAATTAATTCTCATATTTTTTTCTTTTACATTCAAGAGATAAAAAGAGGTGTAATGTACACCTCTTAATTAAAGGTTAATGCATATATGTTTGCACATAGTCATCCATCCTATAACATTCACTTAGAATATTTAATGGAAGGTTGTATATTCAAAAAAATATCTTGGAAATTGTATCTTTGTGGTCCTGCATACATGTAGATATAGAGGACTAAGTCTTTATTACAATCTGAAGCATTATGAAGAAATTCTCTCATAATTTGTATTACATATGGTAAAAACTATTCAGATTTTCTCTGAGTTATGACTTCTGTGTTGTCAGACACATGTACATTTGTGCTCATATTGATAATTATTGATTTATATTCGTTCTCGCATCTCTCAACAGTAAGTTTAACTAATGTGTTATTTAATTTATTTTCTCTTTACTTAAGAGAAACTTTAGCTAAGTTATTTGGCTCATATCATATACTACTAAATCTTATGCTGCCATGGTTATCACAAGGCCTACAACTTATGATGAACTTGTGTATATTAACATATACATGTACTAAAAACCATAAGTAAAATTAACTTGCATTTAACCTGCTGATACTGGGATGGCATGTATACATGCCATATCCACTTTCATTCTTGTTTATTAACTGTGTTTAAACATAAATGGCTCCACACTTCCTTATTTGCCAAGGAGGCAGTTACTATATTGCATCCTATCTGAGAAAAAGAAATACAGAGAACTCTGACGTACTCTGATTTCAAGTCTCTTCTGTTCTAATCAGCTGGCACTCACTACTTACGTTTACAAATGTACAATGCTTTTATTGTTTTTAATTGTAATTTGCTGCCTTCAGAACCACTTTTTATTTCTTTTCTCAAGAGAGTCTTGGCAGATTGGAGTACTCCAGTGTCTGGCTTTAGTTGACAGCCTTTTCTTTCCTAAGATTGGACAGAGTATAGGCCTATCTGTCTCACCTATTTACTCTCTTCTTTGAATTTAAAAAAAACAAAAGTGTCACTTTTATTACTAATAGCATTCTTAATGTTATATTAGCAATAATAATAACAACAGCATTAACAGTAATAATGTATTAGGAATGAGATAAAAAAAAAATCAAGATATGGTTTGAACAGTTCAGATCTATTAATTAACTCGGAAGCTATCTATGTGTAACTAAAATGAATAAAACAAAACTATTTGGACGTGCATGTACCAGGCATCAGGGGTTCATGTAGGACTATATTTTCTATGTTATTTTATTTCTTTTTCAAATTTCCATGATTAATAATGACAACTATATACAGCTTGCTGAAATTTTACCTATATTTCGACTTACACTATTAATGTTAGGCCGACTGGTAATAAAGTTAATAAAATAATGAAGAGATACTTTTGCAATTTCCTCACAGTAAAGGATTATGCAGATGCTACACTCCTGTAATGTGATATTAAGATTTCTTATTTACTAGGCAATATATGATTTCCTATTTTTCAAAAACTAAATACATCTTTTTCTTATTCCTTAGTTTCAATTTGATTACTTATATATTATATACAGTTTGTTCCATTGGCTGAAAATACACACTATGTACAACATGCACAGGAATAACATCACAAAAAAATTATTAGATAAATAAAAACCTCATTATTTGAACATCCCATGACTACGTTCAAGTCGAGAGTGACAGCATTATACTGATACTTAATGTACAAAAGATATCCATAAGTTGGATATTAAGATGTTTTACTAAGTAGGGGATATATATTTTTGTTCTTTTATTTCATATAATTTTATCATAATAATTTATACAAGATTTATTCAGTATTAGCATATACAATTTCATTGTATGAATAATAAACACATGATCAGTATCATAATAATAACTTAAGCAGTTTTTGGATTCTCTCAGTAACACATGATATATATATATATATATATATATATATATATATATATATATATATATATATATATATATATAATTATATATACATATATATATATATATATATATATATATATATATATTATGTATATATATATATATATATATGTAATATCTATAAATAATGTATCATGACTCATTAAACTTCATAATTATATAAAATATTTAATACAAAGAATCTCACTATATCATTATGAATATGTATGTGTAGAAAGTGAAAATTATTGAAACAATATTTTCTTAATAGGCTTATCTTTGTTTATTAAGGATGTATAATATTTATATTTATAGCACTGTATATAGGTTATATAAAGTAAGTAACATGAAAACCACACACTTTATAAGTCGACAATGCCATACACTTTAGTTTACATGCTAAGTGGGTGAAACTATGGGTAACGAAGAAGTGTTCTCCTCAATTCGATCAAGGAGTTTTGTGGCGACTTGTGCAAAATCTTCCCACAGTTGATACACAACATCCTTTGTCTCAGGGTCACATTCACCAAAAACTTCGGGATTGTTGAAGTACGAATCATCATCTGTAAGATATTGTCATTAGTTTTTAGTAAACAAATAATTTGTCTTAAGTTGTAAGAGTGTTCATATTTTGATTTGGCTTTGCATTTAATGATGATATGAAAACTAATGATTTAAGATAGCACATTTACCAGAATCGTAATATACAATGTTCCTTGGAAAATCCTTACCCAAAAATTCTTCTAGAACAAAAACCAGCTTTTCTGTTTCCTTATCACCAAGTGTTGACTGAACATCGGCTGCAGAGGCACAGAAGTTCCAAAGTACTTGGCAAGCAAGACTACATAGCTGCCAGTCTCCATATCCAAAGTACTGCAGTACATCTATCATCCTGGAAATAATGATACATTGTAATACAGTAAAAATAGGGTACAGATATCAAGCTTCTCTAACAATAGTATTTTTGGGTAAATTGTTTATGTACACATTATTATGTTCCAGTCTTGTGTCCAAATATGCAATCACTCAGTTATCAGTATATTCAAGTATTCCTTCTGCGATTTAGTCAGTTCTGACTGACTTTACAGTAACATTTACCCAAAGGCAGTTTTACAACTAGTACAGGAAAGGGAGATCACTCAGATTTTATTTTTGCCACATTTCTCATGGATATCTAAAAATAGATATAATAGTATGTTTTAATGTTAAGTTTGTACCTTCTAATGCTTATATAAACTCTTTTAATATTTATGCTGGAATCTGATGTGTATCCTGGGTAATATTAGTATCACTGCTTAGTGAGCTAGCAATGTGGACAGTACAGTATATGAATCATGCACATTGTAGATTAGTATTTATTATTTACATAGAATTTGTATGAATATACCTTAATACTCCATTTTCCTCTTGGAAGATGGATCGTCTGGATGCATCTGACATTAGATTGACTAGCACACCAGCACAGACATATACCAGTTCTCGTGAATCACAGTCCAACATCTCAATAAGGATCTCCAGCACTGGAATAGATAATGTGGTATTTATCTTAAAGTATATCAATTAAAATTTGTCATTATCAACAGGTATTAACAACAATTTAAGAACCATTATCAGCAGATATGCGTGTATCAACTAAATAGTAAATGATAATAGAAAATGATTCATTTATCTGATGCATGCTGTCATCTATTCTAATGTTCACTTGATTTATTAACCCTTTAAGCCACGGACATTCATGCATAACTATATTACTTATACATATAAACGGCACAATCAAATACATACTTTACTTGCCACATTCGAGCTGATAGTGGTTTTCTTTTTTTTTTTTCTTTCTCTCTCTTTTCATTAGGGTATTCATTAATACTCAGTGATAATATCTGTCAAGGGAGATATTTGTTTTTATCTATGATTTCACGTAGAACTTACCATGACAGCCCGAGAAGCGGCTTCCTTTCATCGCCGGGTCTTAAAGGGTTAAAGAAAAAGAAAGTCACAGAGAAATGAGTGGACAGATTTGAAGAATCATGGTCCTAGTCCATTCTTTTTTTTTCTTTTTCTTTCTTTTCTGAGATGCACATTTTTCACTCAAAAGAAGTAATCAACACAATCATACAAGCAAGATGAAAATGATAAGGCACTATTTTTTTTGCTCTCTCGTTTTTCTGATCTTAAAGGAAAGACAAAAGCTGATATCAATATCATAACCAGCGCATAAACAAAATATACAATATCCACTTAAGAAAGAACATGCACAATGTGTATAAAATGGTTTAAATGACACTAACCAGCCCTCTTAGTAACGATGTCTCGTATCTCTCTGAAATGGGTCAGATTGCCAATACTCTGATGGTTTCCACGAGACCTTCAACATGATCCATTGGCAACATATCACACAAGCCTGGAAATGATATTCAAGTTAATAGCATTAGATTATGGCAACAAACAGCAGAACATTCTTCCTTTTTTACAGAATGTCAGGAAGATCCAATTCGGCCAATTTTCTTCTGTGACGCTATGAGAGTAATTATATAAAGTATAAAATATGTTGAAAAGTGAAAACTTTCCTGTATCCTCCTTTTCTTTGAAAACAGCTTTGAATATTTTGTTCAAAGATTTTGAGTTCTATCCTGTAAAAATTTGTAGTATGACTGCAATATTCCTACTGCTATGATCATCTACACCCAGATTATATATTATCATCATTACCATCACCAATGGTATCTTACCATATAATTATCATAACTGTCATTATTGTGATAACATTAACCACCATTAGTAGAACTGCATTTATATTAACATTATCAGCATCCTCACCACCACCACCACCATTATCATCATCATCACAACCCACAAAACCATCAAATAAAACCACAAAAGCATGACTAAAAACACACAAAAAGCAGCAGCTTCATTTCTTCCTCCAAAACCAAAACCTACACTCAGCGAGTTGTGTATGAAGAGCCGAAACAGGTTGGTCCCGTGTAGAAGGTCAGGTTGTTCAGAGTGGCCAAGGGGGCACCAGCTCCTCGCTCTCGTCCACGGCTTTGTGTCTCAAGACGGAGATGAGGAGGGAAAGGCAAGTCCTCGACCTGGCCAAGACGGGGCCAACTCGAGCGTGGACGGAGACATTGGCCAGGACACGGATCAGCTGTGAAGATTTACGGGGTGTCATTGGGGAATGTTTATTTATTTATATATCATTGGCTATTTATATATGTGGCTCTCAATGCACTTATCTCTCTGATTACAATTCTAATTACTTAATCCATCCGTCTACCAATCTACATTCCTGTCTATCTATCTATTTGCATTCCTGTCTATATCTATACGTATCTATCTATGTATATATCAATGTCTGTCTATATGCACACGTACATACATATACATACATACACACACACACACACACACACACAACCACACAACAATATATATATATATATATATATATATATATATATTATAATATAATATATATATATATATATATATGATCTTTCTTTCTGTCAAAACTATTTATCTATACGTGCATTATACATTTACCTATTATCCTCTCACTCTATCTCTGCCCATCCATCTATCAATCTGGCTATGCATTTATATATATATATATATATGCCAAATTGAATTTCTTAAAATTATTTTAGTATTATTATTCTGACTGCATGATAACATAATGATGTGTGTGTCCGTGCGTTTTTGTGTGTGTGTGTGTGTGTGTGTGTGTGTGGTGTGTGTGTGTGTGTGTGTGTGTGTGTGTGTGTGTGTGTGTGTGTGTGTGTGTGTGTGTGTGTGTGTGTGTGTGTGTGTGTGTGTGTGTCCGTGTGGGTCCACCTACGTAAGTTTGTACGCACGCATCTGTCAAACATGTACAATACGTGCACAACCGTACATGTATCTCAAAGTCCACATACATGAGTGTCCGTACGTGCGTGCCTACGTCAGTTTCCCGGCCTCACCTTGACCATGACGTCTTCAGGAGCGCCGCTGGCAGACGTGAGAGGGTCGGCCATCTCTTCGGCCTGGTGGTGTCGGTCCCGTCGTAAGTACTCCGTCAGTAGTTCGAGGAGTGTCTCCGTGAAGCCGTCTTCGCTAAACAACTGTGTGCCAGAGAATGGAAAAGAAGGAAACATATAGTAAACAACTAAACAATAGAAAAGAATGAAATGTAGAGTAAACAACTAAACAGAAAAGAATGAAACGTATAGTAAACAACTAAATGATAGAAAAGAAGGAAACGTATAGTCATGGAGGTTAATTTTTATTTTTATAGGTTATTTACAGTTGGAATGTCGTGGAGCTGACCTCAAGTATTTGAATTTCGCTGATGGATTTTTCCCTATACTTCCCCGTCCTTTCTTTAAGAACAACAGGAATGTTAATAATGGAAAAAAAAAAAAAACAGAAATACAGGGAGAGAGAAAAAAAAGCATCGCAATATTGTTTCATGAAACCGCTGTCACGCTTTTGAATTTCCTTCGTTTTGTTCATTTTTTCAACAGATTTGTCCTCCATGTATTCCTTGGTCATTTAAAGCCAGCACAAACCTATCACATTTGCTTCACTTCCCCTGTTCGAGCCCTCATTTATAAAACAAATAAATAAACAAAAATGAAAAGGAACATTAGGAAAATAAGTCACCAGCTTTCATTTTTTACTTAAATCCGCCAATCCCTTTTATATACAAACACAAACAAAGAAGGCCATCAGATCTACACCGTTTCGTTCCTCCCTCCCTCCCTCAAAAGAAAAGAAAGAAAGAAAGAAAGAAAGAAAGAAAGAAAGAAAGAAAGAAAGAAAGAAAGAAAGAAAGAAAGAAAGAAAGAAAGAAAGAAAGAAAGAAGTAGAAAAAAAACTAGACGAATTCCAGGATTTCCACACCTGCCATCGCGCGTCGTCTGAATTGGCCATCATGTTCCCGAGGGCGTAGGCCAGTCGCACCACGATGGCGGGCGAGGAGGCATGTCGGCGGAGGGCGTTCACTGTCGCCGGAGGGTGCCAGGGTGGGCGGCGGCGGCGGCGCAGCACTCCTCGTGGGTGGATATGATGCTGTGAAGGGATTTGCACTGCTATAGGAAGGATTCGTGATAATTTACTACTGGAATGTATTCGTGGATAGATAGGATACCGTAAAGGAATCTGTACTCTTGTATTGTTGGTAATTTTTCGTGGGTTCATATGATGCTGTGAAGGGATTTGTAACATTGTAATACTGGCAGGTATAGAAAGGATTTGTAATGCCGTGTAATTGGCATTTATTCGTGGACTGATAGGATACTGTAAAGAAATTTGCAGGACTGTATTGTTAGTAAGTATTCGTGGGTTGGTATGATGTGAAGGGTTTAGGGCATTGTTCTGTGGGAAGGTAATCGCTAGTTAATAGGATGCTATAAAATGTACTTTTGTATTCTTGACGAATAGTGATGCCATGTTGTAAAGGGATTTGTACAACTGCACTAATGTCATGTATTCACGACAGGTTTGGTCGATCTGCCCAAGCCACGACTTCCTAGGTCGTCCCAAGGCCTCCTCCACCCAGGGCTGTCTCGAACAGAGACAACCTGATGGGCAGGATCATCCTGAGGAATGCGAGCCAGGTGGCCGTATAGCCTGAGTTTGCGATCACGAATTGTGCAGATAACAGGTCCTGTGCCAATATCACGGTGAAACCGCTGGTTGGACGCATGGTCCCGCCAACAGTACCTATGATCCGGCGCAAGGACCTATTACAGAAGACATCAAGACGAGACTCCAAGGCACAGGATAATGTCGAGGTTTCGCTACCGTATAGCAAAACTGACATTATCAGGGCCTTGAAAACCCGTAGCTTGGTCCTTCTGCACAGGTACCGACATCTCCAAATACTCTCGTCGAGAGAGTTCACGACCCCTGCTGCCAGGCCAATCCGTCTGCCGACTTCCTGGTCTGACAGCCCAGGGTTATGAACTGCACTACCAAGGTATGTAAAGCTCTCTGTGACTTCAATGCCCTCGCCGCAAGCATGTTCCAACTGAACAGCTTCTCCTAACAAGTCCCCAAAGTCCTGGATCTTGGTCTTGGTCCAGGAAACCTCTAGAGTCAAGGGCTTCGCTTCATGACTAAATGCATCCAGAGCCACCACTAAGGTTCCCAAAGACTCAGATAGAACAGCAAAACCTTGATATTGCCCAGAGTTGCTCCACAATGACTTTGAACAGTAGTTTTGCCCAGTATCCAGTCCATGCAAGTGTTGAAAAGTATTGGTGCAAGGACACAACATTGCCTCACTCTTAAAATAACAGGAAAGAAACTTGACAGGCCCCTTCCACACTTTACAGCACTTTCAGTACCTGTAGGCCTATGTAGGCCTATATGATGCCGTAAATGAATGACTGGGAGAGGTTATGGTGCTGTGCATGAAAAGTAGAGGTTTTCGGGAGGAAAATACACATAAGGAAATTATGCAGGTTGCTTGGGCATCGCATAATATAGGGCGAGTATTCATGGGTTTATAATAAACTGTACCAAAAGTACTGGTGGGTTTTATTGTGCCGCTGAAGTCAAGAAGGGTTAAAATCAACAGCTTTCAGTATAAAGTTAATGTTTTGTAAAATAATGGTTTCGGATTTTTTAAAGGTATCACAGGGATTTGATTATGCTTCACTCCTGACCTCAAGGACTATACTTCTGTCACCTTAGTAGAAAGAACCATCACATATACAAAACATAAAAGTGAACACAACATACACATAATCTCCAAACCCCGTTCAACATACCTCAGAATTCTCACCACATTAGCGTCCATCTGCATCGTGGGAGAAATGCTGCAGCAGATTGCACACCTGCGGCACCGCCCCTGTCACCAGCAGGAGGGGGAAAGTCCTCTCGCAGCTGCTCACGTGTCGAAGGGTTCCTGTCAGCTGCACCAGGGCATAGTGTGTCTGCTCGGGACACTTCCGCTCTCCTGCTGCTGCTCGGAGAGAAAGGGTTAAGGAATTCGTTATCTTAGGATTCTGTGTTGCGTGGAGAGAGGGCATTTCATGCGTGCGTCGGTGGTTATTGGGCTGTGTTGATTTTGTTTTTGATTATTTCTGTTATGTTCTTTATCGTGTTGTCTCGCTCCCATTCTTTTTTCTGTTTGGCAGTCTGTCTCTGTCTCTGTCTCTGTCTCTGTCTCTGTCTCTGTCTCTGTCTCTCTCTCTCTCTCTCTCTCTCCATCTCATCTCTCTCTCTCCATCTCACTCTCTCTCTCTCTTTTCTTTCCAGCTCACTCATCACTCCTTTCTTCTCTCTCTCTCTCTCTCTCTCTCTCTCTCTCTCTCTCTCTCTCCTTCTCTCATTCGTCTCTCTCTATCTCTCTCCATCTCTCTCCATCTCTATCT